AACAGCGTTGTATGGTCAGCCAAATTTCGCGTAATTCGGAAAATTATTTGTCCTATATATTTTGCAGTCTTTTCCTTGTCACAATTTCTTTTCCCAAAATCATTTACAATTGACACAGATAAAAAATATTAACAAAAACAAGCATTTCTTTTCGACAATTTGTTTTACTGACTTTTTGACTTTTTTCCTAGTATTTATGCAGCTGCAAATAGCTTCGCCTAGTTTTAGGTGCTCCTATACCGTATGTGCCATAAAGACTGCTATGAAATTATTATTAATAAACTTTTAATTTTATTTTTCCAATAAATAAAATTACGTTATTAATTCTTGTGTTGTAAAAATAATCTATCTTTATTTTTCACTCACATCACAGAGCTTAACTCAGTTAACTCAGTCAATCATACAAACTACTCTTAGTAAGATAGTTAAAATGCAAAGAATTTCCCATCACCCTGATGGGAAAGTGGACCTGTACCACAGGTACTTTGATACGAAAGCGTCTAAAATACAATTTTCTAGGTACATATATTCAAAATTATATGCAATCCACATTAATATGCCTTAAGCACAAAGGAAAAAATTTTACTTTGTCGGCAGTTTACTGCCCCCTCGTTGCAACACTACAGAGACTCAATTTACGGATTACTACTTAATTTTAGGTGACAGATTTCTTGCAGCAGAAGACTACAATGCCATGCACACGTATTGGGATTTACGGCTCTGTAAGTTAGCTTTACAATTTCATTCTAAATAGAAAAAATGTACTAGACGTGATCTCTCTAGGGCAGCCAACATATTGGCATGCAAATAAAAATAAAATACCAGACCTATGGAAAACGTAATCTCGGTTCTAAACTCTATTTTGATTTCAGCAGCAGAAAATTCTAGGAAACTGTGTGCGAAGCGATGAAGAAAAATCTAACGTATTTCTTGATTACCTAAAAGAGGTGTTCTAACCAAATCCTGCAACAGGACATTATGATTTTCCCACTCAGCGTCGCGGCTAATGACTTTGTTCAAACAATCACCAACAACTTAGATTGCAAAAAGGCACCGGGATATGACAAAATCTCACCCGTCATGATAAAAAAACTTACCCCTTTTGGCCATAAATTTTATCACAAGACTTTTTAATGCCATTATTAAATTTGGCTTTTACCCAACAGAGTGGAAAACATCCATGATTATTATGATTCATAAATCAGGTGAAGATTCTACGTTTGCCTCTTCATACAGGTTAATAAGCTTATTGTCAGGCCTTTTTAAATTCTTTAAAAAAACACTGCTTTTAAAGCTGAAACTATTCCTTGACAGTCAAAACCTAATACCCTCACAGAATTTTGGTTTTAGGAAAAAACATGGAACTATTGAGCAAGTGCTTCGTACAACGAACGTCCCGTGGTATTTCTCGATGTTAAACAAGAATTTGACAAAGTATGGCACAATGGACTCATATATAAGATACGCTTATTACCTGCAAATGTCCACTCAGTTCTAGAACCGAATCTACAGAATTTATCTGCATCGATACCATTATTAAAATATATATTGAAAGTTTTGTCACTCTATTAACAATATATAATTATCTTAAAAAAAATAAAAATCTGAAAAAAAACAATGAAAGCAAAAAAAGAACAAAAAAATCTAAAACCGAATTATTTATTTACAAAGGTTCTTCAGTTGTATTTCAACTGAAAAGGAGACATCTTGTTTGTTCATCTGACCTGTTACTACTCTTGTTCCCTTTACTGTTACTACTCTATATTTTAACATCATTCTTAGAGACAATTGTTTAAGTATTTAACTTTTCAACAATTGTTTAAGTATTTAACTTAAACAATAGTTTTTAATAAGTAGCCCAAGACATAACTTACCTAATCAACTTGTTCAAGGTAATTATAGATACCGATTTTTATATCCATATAAAGTTGCAACGTTGCGAATAAGAACTAAGAGTTAAATCAATCAAATTAGTTTTTCATTTTTAAAAAATCTATTGCCAATAAGAGAAAAAGTAACAATAATTCTTAAAAATGAAATTGGGATTAGACAATTTCAGTTAGACAATAAGAATATCGCCGATGTAGACATATGCAAAATCTAAACCTTGTATTACCTGATTTATAAATCTTTGGAAGGTGTGTTCTGCATTGCATTAACCGAATGCTATTCAAAATTTCTAATTGACGTAGTGACAGCAGTTTTTCTAATGTCTTCTTTAGCTACAGGAATGTGATGATACGCTTAAACAGTATCTAGCTTTCTGAATATTTTCTTTTTATCAAAAAAAGATCCAATATAATGAATGTGTGATACAACACACCTGTCAGGGATGGTTGTAGCATTAAGACTGCGATAATCTGCGCAAACTCTCCATTCGTCATTTGATTTGTTGACCATATCAATGCGACTGCATCAATTGCTGCTAGATGAAAGGCAAATCCCCAATTTTATCATTTCATCGAACTCCTTTTTACAAAAGTTTCAGTTTTTTCTGGTGATAAACGACGAGTTTTGCAAAATATTGGTACACTAACTGTTGTTTGAATGTGATGCTCTATATTGTGTTTAATTTTGGTGCAAAAATTTGATTTAGTTGAGTCCACGAATTATTGAATAACTGATTTTTTTCTTTTGAAGAAATTGAAGTAACAGAAATGTTATTTTGAACACATAGTTGAAGTTAAAGCTGGATTCCACTTAAATTCTGACCATTCACCAATATTACTTACATATGGATGTAACATACTACCTACGCAACCCAAACCGACATTAACAAACCGTCTAACAGACTGAAATTATTTTAAGGCTCAGATAAATAAAAATATTGACCTATCTTACAAAATACGAAGCATTGATGACCTAGAGAGCGAAACGCATTGCTTTACGAGCTTGATTGAAAAATAGGCATGGCGCAGTTCACCCTTGCAGAATAGTAAGCAATTTGATAAGATTTATCCGCTCGAAATTTTATTTGTAGTCTGTAATAAAAGAAAACTTCGCAAAAAATGACAACAATCACGTTTATTACAAGATAAAAAAAAACCGTAATAATATCACTCAAAAACTAAAACGAGGAATCAGAAACCTTAAGAATGAAAATGTTAAGAAATATCTTACAAGCTTGACATATGACAGTAAAACTAACTATTCTCTCTGGAAAGCTATGAAAAAATATGAATGACCATTCACTCATAACCCTCCCTTAAAAAAAGATAATAATGTCCCAAGTTATTGGAAAGTTGCTGAAGTGGTGACGGTTCTAAAACCAGATAAGGACCAACATTCTCCTACTTTATATAGACCAATCTCTCTCTTGCCAGCCATAGGAAAATTGTTTGAAAAGCTCATCTATAAAAGACTTGAAAAAATAGTTTGTGAAAGGGATCTTATCCCAAATCATCAGTTTTGCACTCTGGCCTGATATGGTATATGTATAAGCTAAATACTATTCTGCCACAGCAATACTGTAAACTATTGGAATCGTATATTGGCAAAAAGTACTATCGAGTTAAACTACTTGACGCATATTCACAACTATATCTTATAAATCGCGGAGTCCCTCAGGGCAGTATACTAGGGCCATTGCTGTACCTGCTGTACACATATGATTTGCCAGTGATTTGCCCAAGGTGTATTGTCGGAACTTTTGCAGATGACATGGTAATAATGGCTACAGGTACAAACAACAAGGCATCTACCACCAAGCTACAAATCGCTCTTCAAGAAATTGAACAATGGACAAATAAATGGAAACTGCCAGTAAATAGTTCAAAATCTAATCACGTAGACTTTACTAACAAAAGAAATTTGATTTTCAAATTCTATTATTTCTAAATAGCGGAAAA